AAGGGGACGTATTTCTTGTGCGGATGCAACGTTAAAATACCCAATAATGGAATTATTTCCTCAAAACATCACTGAATGATATTTACACGCATTATAATATCACGACATTACAGTTTTGCACGTTTATTCGAGAAAAGAACAAAAAGATCGACGGAGAAAGTATCAGTTGTCGTGTATTATTTTTTTTTCTCGATCGTTTCACGAGTCGTATTACCGAAAATCGTAAATTCGTACAGATCAAATATGACTACTGTTATCGGTGACGATTGCGTTGACTTTCGGCTATCTCACTGAACGATAATAAAAGCCGATACCTCGCGCCTTCACGACTTCTTCACACGAAATGCGAGAGAGGGACGAGCGCGAGGAAACGCGGATTCTCGCGCGAGTAGCGATGCGAGACTACGAAACGTCGTCATCAACGGCAGGAAAGTAGTCTACCTGCTGCGAATATATATAGAGCGGCTCGGAAAGAAATGTGGCGACCAACAATCTTTTCAAGATGGTGGCTTCGCTAATCCGACAGCCATGTAAATTTAGACGTCTCGGCATTTAGATATCCAATGCTCGAATGAAAAACCATTACGGTTTCGAGAGCATGACGAAACCTGAGAATAGATTTACGGTGTGGATGAGAACGATAGAAGACGAGCCTAACGAAGACGCCAAACTTGTTATGTACCGTCGAAAGGCTCGAACTCGATATCTCCGCAAGCGATTAATCGATGTCGCACAAGCAGAGAAAATCTCATTAAACCCTGGAACAGATATTGCAATCTGATGTATCAACAAATAGAAAATAGAAAATAGAATAAAAAATAGAAATAGAAATAGAAATAGAAAATAGAATTAGAAAATAGAATAAAAAATACTCAACTGAAATCTGAAAGTGTATTGAGAGAAACGAATATGATAAAACGGTTGAGCAACCGATATTCTTAGTTTTTGACACTTTTACAGATTAAATTTGATCGGATATTAAGGCATATTTATAACACAGAAGTTAATAAATAATTAATAAATCTCCACGCACATATCTTAATCACTTTGCTCGTCAAGAAAATCAGCGTCAACCGACCTAAAAATGGCAAAATCTAAATGCTATTTGATTTTTATAAAAGTCAGTACTAAAGTATTTTTCGAGTCGCTGAATACAAATTTAAGATCAAAATTTGAAAGTTCAAATTAATGTCAGATTCGAAATCAGCGACCCTAAAAACCTCCAACTACCGAGTTCCATCCAAATTGATTGATGCATCCCTTATAGAAATATCATACTAAGAATCATTGATAATTACTTATTTTCAGTATTAAAAATACTGGATAATAAGTAATTGTCAATGATTCTTAGTATGATATTTCTATAAGGGATTTCCACCTTCAGAAATGCACCAATCAAAATAGAGTATTTCCATCCAGTAAGCAACCAGCACGAAACAAGCATCAGAATAATATTTCATTATACTTTTCTCAATCTATTTTAACTAGTATAAATTAGTAATAATGATTTTTCTTATTGAAAGATTATCGAAATATTAATGAAATTATAATGAAATTTTAATGAAATTGGATCAAAATTGTGAATGCTTTTCAAAAGCATTTCAGCAAAAGTTCATTATATTTTCAATAAATTATTTCCATCAGATACAAATATCTCAATTGAGATCTTATATGCGAAATTTTGCGGAAACTGTATTTGAGAATTCAATTGAGAATTCAACTGAGAATTGAATTGAATTCTATTGTTATCTCAGCAGAAATTTTTCAGTAGGGTAGCGTCCAGCCCGTCAGCGCTACCAGTACAATTTTACCTTCACAGAGAAGTTCTATTCCTATACCAAAAGCTCCGCTGTTTTGAATAAAACTACTGAACGTTTAAAGAAAGGATTGAATAGTTCTAGTCTCAATCTACAGTCTCTCTCTAAGGTAAAAATTACCAGCAAAACAACCCTTGGTACTAGGGTTGGGTTACTTAATAAAGATGGTAAACTGGTAAAAAGATTGCGCTTTGAAGAGAATAAAGAAGAAAGAGATTCGGCGCCTCTTTCTTCAGTTCTTTTTACCATCTCTATTTCAGAGATTATTTCTATTCCTACTTTTGCCCCTGTCTCTTCTACGTATTCTGCATCTTCTGTCGATTTCTCTATGAATCTTTCCATTGGAGACGTTATAAATCCCTTAAGTTCCTTAGATCCCTTACGTCCCTTGCTTCCAAAATCCATTTCGAGCAGATATAAGGAAGGTAGCAATGGACCTTTTATAGTTTGGATTGGGAGAATTGACCTTAGCAACTTAGAGGACACTCGTTCCACCAGCTCTTTGAAGTTAGCTAAGGCATTATACAATTTAGAACCTATCAGAACATATGTATCCGTCTCTTATGACGTTAGTAAGATAAACAATAATAAATTTGCTGTATCTTTCCTTACAGGAAATATACAGCTAATTCTTTTATCATAGAGATGACTAAGCTATATTGTCAAGTTTTCAAAAACCAGTCTTGGGTCACATTTATCCCTGATTTTAGAATTAAAAAAAAGTGATCGACATCAAAATGATATCAAATTGACGTCGGTTTGATGATTTCAACGTTTATTTAATGTCATTTTGACATCAATCAACGAATCATTTTTCGCTGAGTATATACTGTTTTAACTGAACTTCAAATGTAAGTAAAGCGCTTTCAAATATGTAATTCAAAATCCAAGAATAAGTGGCTTCTAAATAATGCGCTTGAGTTTGTTAGATCTGTATATGGATTTTAGAAACATGAATACAAACTTAGGGATAAAATATATTTCGCATAAATCTATTTATTACTGATACAAGTGAACATTTTATATATGAAAAGCTATTTTAACACCAACTGCCTTTCTTTGCCCTATTATATAAAACTATATAATTAATTCCAAAAATATAAATAACTGTAAGTAACAATAAATTAAATAATTTATATGTAAATATGTAAATCAATTATTATACATTCACTGGCATGTACTGAATATAGGACAAAAAATAGTTGCTATAAACAAAACATTTGTAAGGGCTAAGGTAGAGAACGAGACGTAAGCATCGTAGTCGTAGACGTAAAATAAGGCAGAGAAAAATGTAAACGTAAGTCATGAACAGCTATTAGCCTTACGTTTATGTTTTTCTCTGCCTTACTTTACGTCTACGATTACGACGCTTACGTCTCGTTCTCTGTCTTAGCTCTAATTCCTCACGAATTATCAAAGTATTCTAGGAATTAAATCGCAAAGTATTCGTTATAATGAAGTCCTAAGTGTAAGAACGAAGGAAAAGAGAATGAGAAGAATGGGGGAGACATAGGGGAGGGAGAGAGGGTGGATAGTAGAGGTAATGAGATAGAACAAAGCGAGGAGTGCCATGTTATCGTTTACTTTCCCTGGTATCAATATAGGAAAATGAGCGCGTCGAAAGACGTAAACAATAAACGTAAACAGTATGACGCAACTTTGATAGTTCTAAAGTATCTTTCGGTCTTACACAATACCGCTCCCAACAAACTGTCAGTACAACAACAACGATTCTTGGTTCAATGAATACTTTTTCACTCGATCAGTCTCCGAACTGATCATGTTCTCATGCCCCAGCCACTGATTAGGCTGCCCTCCTCAACTGAGGAGTGCAATGAGTACTAAGGGAGGAACGCACACAAAGTACCTGCTCCAGTTACCGGTGGTTTCCGCAGTCAGGGCTCAACCAGCTCCAAGGAAAACTCGCACAAGGAGTGGCCAAAAGCCTAACCTTTGGGCTTAACTGATGCTGGGAGAGCGCGCGCCTCAGCATCAGCGGATAAAAGGCCTCAAGGCCGCACCATTCTTCCTTTTTTCTTCTTTGTCAACTGCCGCTGAGTCAACCTTAATACTGTCTTATGGTGGGATCTCAGGTGAGAACAGGAGAAGAAAAAAAACACTTCTTGTTATGAACGACGTTTATTATCCAAATGACACGATCAAAGAATGTGAACTGAAAAGGAGAAGAGGGAAAAAAAAGAGAAAGGAAGCAAATCCGGAACTACGTCCCTGCCAGTCTCATATAAGGGATATTAGAAGACGAATTTATTGTGGTTAATTCTTCAATTCTTTAGGTATTTATTTTTATAATTCTATATCTATTCTTTAAAATTAATTATCTAGGAACTTCTGTTCATCTCTGTGCTATCTGGGTTATTCGCTGTGATCATTGCCTTATATTCGGGCATTACAAATCTTCTTGTAAAAACATTGCCGACCCAGTTATATGCGCCAAATGTACCAAATCAAATCACTCTATAGATTCGTGTTCTTCTAATATAGAACTCTGCGTAAATTGTGAGCGTAAAAAGCTAGCTAATTAGTAAATAGTGCACTTAGTAGTTTTTCTCCGGTTTTTGTGCACAATAGGCACGTCAAAAGGATCGTGGCGGTTCATTGCTTTGGTCCTTTTGATGCGGAGAATTTTATCCGAGTTAGTGGCAGTGATGCCCCGACGGAGGAGGAGGAGGTTACGGTTGGTCCTTCTTCCCCTACTCTGGGGGATTTCTGACCAAAAATAATTAAAAAACCAGTCCCGCTATCTTATGTTGACGTTTTGAGAAAGCCGAAACAAAACAAAAACCAAGTGTTTTCTTTCAAAAAACTTAGATTTCATAGATAATATCTATTCTTCTATTACCTCGCAACCTCAGGAAACTAAACCTAAGTCCACATTGCATGTCATTAAAAAGAAAAAGGCAGAAAATGACGACTTTTCTTATCCAGTAAAAATACCAATTCTTTTACAGATGACATCAATAAGGTATCCTCTTCTCGACCTCAGGGAAGCAGGAACAAAGAGCCACTTACGGGGAGTCTCAACTCCTCTCTTTGCAAATCGGATAATCAATCCTTGTCTGAAGCAAATAGCAGGAATGATAGTCTGCAAAAAAACAGTTCATACGTTTATCCACATATTACTAAAATTTTTAATACTCTATGAGCATTTAAGTCAGTCTGACAAATAAAATTTCTAAGCTTTATTTAAGTTTTTTTAAATAATAACTACTCTTCTCCATCATGTTCCAACAGAACATTACAGAATTTTGATGTTTCTCCTTTTTTATTGAAGAAATCTCAAATTTCAGAATTTGAGATGTTTATAGCTGATCTGGCTAATATTCTTTCTTCTTTTTCTGTTACTGATTAGAACTAACAATGGCGAATCAAAAGCGATCTACCTCTTCGCAAACTTACTAATACTCAAGTAGAATGTCCGTTCTTTGAAGGCCAGAACTTTTGATTTTATTGATTTAATTAATGAAAACTCTCCAGATGTGTTATGTTTGTCGGAAACTAGTATTCCTGCAAATCTTGTCAATACTTATACTTGTCCTATTAAAGGGTACATATTTATTAACTCTCCTAGGGCAGACTCCAGGGAAGGATGCGCTAGAATTTTGATTAGAAACGATTTGATCTATTCTAGATTTAACTTACAAGTTTTCGAATCCTTATACAGGGAAAATAATGTTGATTTTGTAGGTGTGAACATTTTACAAAAAAATAAGTAATTTGTTACAATTCTTTCAATTTATAATCCTCCAAAATCATCTTCTCGGGATGTTGATCCAAATTTTTGGTCAAAATTTTTTTGCTACATGAATATTATGAAGGATACAATTATTTGTGGGGACTTTAACTCTTATATCCCTTTATGGTCTACTTTACCTACAAAATACAATGAAGGACGTAGTTCAGAAACTGCTATTATTCTCTCAATCTTTATTAATATAAGTAATGGCTCTCCCACTTGGCGGATGGATCCAATAAAAGTATGATTGACTACACTTTTGTTTCTTCGACTTTGGCACTTTCCTCTTATAGTTCGGTTGTAGACTATACTTACACTAGCGATCATTACCCGATTTTTATTAAGATTAATGGTCTCTCTACTCTTTCTGTGGAAAGCAGAACTTCGCTCGTTCTTTCGGAGATTATGTGGGATGACTTTTCTGGGAGAATTTCAGGGAAGTTGGAATCAATTTCCATTTTAGAGAAATGTTTAGAGGAGGGATATAATGAATTCATCTCTTTAAAGAATATACTAATTGAATGTGGAGCTAGGATAAATAAAGGAGAAAAAAGTAAAGGTTTCCCCCAGCTATTTGGTGTCTCCAGTATGCGATTATTAAAGGAAAGAAAAACTGCATTCAAGGTTTTTATTTCTCATCCTACATTGCTTAATTTAAGCAACTATAGTATATTACCGCTGCTAGAGTAAAACAGGATTTATTTAAAATAAAAACTAATTCTTTCAGGTGCTTCTACGAAGATATCAACCCACGTTTAAATGTATCCCTGGTATGGCGCTCGCTCACTGTTTTTAAAAATAGAAGAGCTATATCTCTCAGACCAAACCCTGTGAGCAAAGAAAATACTGCAAAAGCCGCTTTTAACAAGATCGTTCCTACAATCGCGTGCGATTCTTTATTACCACATTTATCGGAAAATTATATTGTTTCTGCGCTCCTTGTTACGCATCATCTTGAAGACGCTTTCTCCCTTCAAAATAAGGTTACTACGTTTAACTCGAAGATTATTAAACCTATCACCAAAAAAAAACTTTGCAGTGCAATCTCCTCACTCAATAAAAAGTCGGCGTCTTGTCCTGATCTTATTTCTAATCAAGTCATTATTAAACTTCCGAGATCGATAAGGGATCTTTTACTTAAATTTTTTAACAAATTATTCAATCTATGTTCCTACCCAACTTCTTGGGCTGATTATTATATAATTTTTATTCCTAAGTCTGGTTCTGAAACTATGCGTCTAATCTCCATGACCAAAGGTTTTTTAAAACTTTTCGAGACAATTATTTTTCGTCGTCTTGTATGGTGGTTCGAACAGAATAACTTATTCGCTAAGAATCAATTCGGTTTTCGCAAAGGGAGATCCATTACGAACAACCTTTTTATACTTTTATCTGCTATTTAAAAAGGTTTTTATAGATCATCCTTTACCGGTGTATTGTTTCTTGATATTCAGGGCGCTTTTAATAATGTGGTTCCGCACCTGCTTTTGGACATTTTGAGTTAATTACATCTTCCTATCAAATTCAGGAAATTGAATTCTTTTTATCTTCTAGAAATATAGAGGGATATATTGATGGGACCTCTTTAGATGTTCGTCGGGCGTGTTTGGGCCTACCTTAGGGCTCAGTTCTAAGCCCTATCCTCTTTAACATTTACACTTCCTTTATTTACAACAATTTACCTGAAGATGTTGAATATTTGGCGTACGCCGATAATATATCCCAGGTAGCAAGTACTTTTTTATTTATTTAAATTATTATTATTTATAAATTATTTATTATTTAATAAATATATATATCCCAAGTGGCAAGGTGACGTCTAAAGATGTTATTAAAACATCATTAAGACATTCATGACGTTTTAATGACATCTTAATGACATCTTTAGACGTCACCTTGCCACTTGGGATATATATATATTTATTAAATAATAAATAATTTTTAACCTGTAATTTTAAACTCGTAAGTTTAATTGTAACTTCTGTCACATATATGAATAGTATAAACAGAATTCTTGTAAATAAATTAGGATACATATTATTTTAAATTAGGGTTATATTTTACACTTCAGATTTCTCACATAATAGTTTATAATAAGTATGATTTTAATAAAATACGAATAATCTTACCACATGTTAAAAAAATATGGATATAATCGCGAGATTTTACGAAATTATTATCTGATGTCGAATGCGTTCTTTACTTCTTAGGGCCATTATACAATGGCAGGCAATAGGTAATCGGAGCAGGCAATAGCCAATAGGAACAAGGAATAGAAATAATTGACTAATCAGAATTTCTATTCTCTATTCCTATTGCCTGTTGCCTGGCATTCTGCAAGGGCCTTTACTCCAGCTTGTTCCTGTGGTAAGGCATTGAGTTATGACTCCTGCACACAGAACGCGGTAATGCTTGCCGCGAGGCGGAAATCCGCGCGACAGCCAATCAATATATTGTTTTTCTGTAAGAGCTAGAAGGTTATTACGGAAAGCAGCATATTTATTGGCTATCGCGCGGAACTTCCGCCACGTGGCAAGCATTACCGCGTCTTGTGTGCAGGAGCCATAAGAATTTGTCATAAACTACAAATGTACTAGATGGTCGTGCCTATCATAATTTTCAGACCTAGTGGAACTAATGGCTCCTGCACACAGGACGCGGTAATGTTTGTCGCGCGGCGGAAGTTCGCGCGACAGTCAATCAATATGCTGCTTTCCGTAATAAGCGTCTAGCTCTTGCGGAAAAGCAACATATTGATTGGCTGCCGCGCGGCGGAAGTTCGTACGACAACCAATCAATATGCTGCTTTCCGTGATAACCTTCTAGCTCTTATATTTATATTTCTCGGCCCTAGTGAAACTAACTCGTACTTACTTCAACTCGAATTATCGTAAACAGCCCGTGACACATATGTACACAGAAATGCACAAAGTGTAACATTGTGCACGATTCAATTGGAACAAAGTGTATACATATGTCGGGTAGGGTTAGGATTATTTTTCAACTGTGCTTATATTTTGGTATTTTTTAATAATAAATAATAAAATCTAAATATTAAAAAAGATATTATTTATTTTACGTCGCAAATGCCAGTCTTTTCTCAAGCCTCTCCGCTTATTAATTTTAATTGTTACTAGAAAACACTAGTTTATACAGCCGACTAGTAGCCTTCGAGCTGAGTACGGATGTGTAATGTTGTGTCGACGATATTTGCATGTACTTGACCGAAAAAAAAACTCCGGTTGGAAAACTACTCTTTTATATCGTTTGTATTTTGTATGAAGAGTTTTGAAGTGCAATTGAAAAGATTTGTGAGTTATTCTATTACTTGTAAATAATTGTTCTTTTCTGGACCATGTATTTAGCCGAAAATAATGATCGGAGGTAAATTAAACAAAGGGTCGGTATGATATCGTTTGTATTTCGTATGAAGAGTTTCGTATGAAGTAGCATTAAAAATATTTATAAGTCATCCAGATAAATTTAATTAAATATTAAAAAAATTATGTATTTGGCCGAAATATCGATCTCAAACGCTGCTGTGGAAGCACCGTCAGGCACAATCGGTGTACTATCTAGTATTTCAATACTCATGGTTCATTTTCGGGTAATTATGTATAATAAGGTCTTTTTTTAATTTTGATATTTTTTTGCAGCTCTTTTGGTAAAAATATTTATTTTGACTCCAACATTGATAATCAATCGGGGGAGTTCGAAAAATATGCAAGTTTTATATTGTTTTAACATTTTAAAAATTTTTTTTCACTTGTCAAACGTTGCTGTTTTCCCACAATTTAAACAAGTTACTGATCTTTTAATCACATTATGTAACCGCAATATCGAACGACTAGCGGGGGGCTGCGCCCCTCGCAACCCTCCTCAAAAT